GCCCGGTGAATGCATCGCCCACAAGGGACGGTTGCTTCCAAGTGAACTAGCAAATGGGACTGGTTTCCTCCTGTGGGTACGTGGCCACTAGAATACAAATTGCTCGGATCTGTGGAAGTGTTTGGTTGCGGCGACCGTGTCCACACGGCTCTCCCGCTTGGATTTGTCGCAGTTTGGGGGAAACGAAGCCGACCGCAATTAATCTCACCGAGTTTGTATGGAATCCCTGGTATCGATCCTGACCAAAAGCCTTCCTCCCTACTCATGCTGCCTTCTAAAGTCGCGGTCCCTGTTCCTTAAGTGTCCAAACTCTTAGCAATTCTCTACTCGAGCTTAGAGATTTCCTCCTTCAGGGTCTTTTTCTTTTCTTTTCTCTGATTTGGTGTAGGAGAGCCAGTTTGGTGTCGCGGTGAAGTGCGCGGACTCTAATCGGGGAGAACCGGGTTTGATTCCCCACTCCTCCACTTGCACCTGCTGGATGACCTTGGGCAAGCCACAGTTCTGTCAGAGCTGTTCTTGAAAAAGAGCAGTTTCTGTCACTCAGCCCCACCTACCTCACAGGGTGTCTGTGGTGGGGAGGGGAAGGGAAAGGCGTTTGTGAGCCGCTCTGAGACTCCTTTGGGTAGTGAAGGGCCATGGGGTATAAATCCAATCTCTTCTTCTTCTCTCAAGAGCAGTTCTCAAGAGAGCTCTCTCAGCCCCACCTACCTCACAGGGTATCTGTGGTGGGGAGGGGAAGGGAAAGGCATTTGTGAGCCGCTCTGAGACTCCTTTGGGTAGTGAAGGGCCATGGGGTATAAATCCAATCTCTTCTTCTTCTCTCAAGAGCAGTTCTCAAGAGAGCTCTCTCAGCCCCACCTACCTCACAGGGTATCTGTGGTGGGGAGGGGAAGGGAAAGGCATTTGTGAGCCGCTCTGAGACTCCTTTGGGTAGTGAAGGGCCATGGGGTATAAATCCAATCTCTTCTTCTTCTCTCAAGAGCAGTTCTCAAGAGAGCTCTCTCAGCCCCACCTACCTCACAGGGTATCTGTGGTGGGGAGGGGAAGGGAAAGGCATTTGTGAGCCGCTCTGAGACTCCTTTGGGTAGTGAAGGGCCATGGGGTATAAATCCAATCTCTTCTTCTTCTCTCAAGAGCAGTTCTCAAGAGAGCTCTCTCAGCCCCACCTACCTCACAGGGTATCTGTGGTGGGGAGGGGAAGGGAAAGGCATTTGTGAGCCGCTCTGAGACTCCTTTGGGTAGTGAAGGGCCATGGGGTATAAATCCAATCTCTTCTTCTTCTCTCAAGAGCAGTTCTCAAGAGAGCTCTCTCAGCCCCACCTACCTCACAGGGTATCTGTGGTGGGGAGGGGAAGGGAAAGGCATTTGTGAGCCGCTCTGAGACTCCTTTGGGTAGTGAAGGGCCATGGGGTATAAACCCAATCTCTTCTTCTTCTCTTCTTTGAATATCAGCGGTTGCTCTTCTAGAGAGAAATGGACAAACCCTGCTGCTTGCCTAGTTATTTCCTGCTCCCACCCCCTATTTGCAAATAAGTTTTGATCCGGTAAAAATCAGTGTCTCAAAAGCTGGGGCAAAGCCAGGCTTTCGGTCAAGCGGGAAAGAGGCAGGCAGTGGTTTGCAAGAGAACGCAGGATGCTGTACACCAAGCTCCCTCTAAGCCGTCGAGTCCTGTGAGAAAAATTCTACTTTCTGAGCTACTGGCATTGTGAGCTAACGCCCTGAGCCCATGTTGGAAGGGCGGGATACAAACTTAATAAATAAATAAATAAATAAAGTTGTGAGTGAGATTTGGCTACTGCCTAAATTAGTTTGCTCTGGAGCCGTCCTTCATGAGCTAAGACAAAAATGTGTGAGCCGCAGGCTAAAAAACTGTGAGCCAGCTCACACTAACTCAGCTTAGGGGGAACACTGCTGTACACCATCCGTTCTTTCCTCTCACTGGTCAAAAAATGGTCTTTAAAAATCAAACCAAACCAAAAAGAGAGGCAGAAACCACAAACCGATACTCCAGAATGTTTATTATCGTAAAGGGAAGCTTCCCGATGCATTTCAGGAGAATGCATTACATGGTGGGGAAAGGTTCCCAATTATTTCTCGCCACAACAGGCTAATACAGCTACTCTTCTGGGATTATCGTATTTACTGGCGACCGCCCCCCCCCCTGCAAATGTGAAGATTGTGATAGGAGAAAAAAGCCTCTTCATCCATTTCCTCCTCCACATTCCTAACTTTATAAACTCCTATCATTAGCTGGCTTTTTTCTTAAACTTTAAGAGAGGAGAAGAAGAAGAAGATGAAGAGAGGAGATTGGATTCATACCCCGCCCTCCACTACTTGAAGGAGTCTCAGAGCGGCTTACATTCTCCTT